ATCTGCATAATAAGGGTGCTGATGGAATTGGCACAACAGGTTCTCCATCGTCTGTAGTACATGTACACTCTCGGTAGTCCCGTTACAGCTCGTGATTATCCAGCCAGAGGGGCCCTGGTCTACGACCGACCAGCTCATCAGTCTATGTCTGCTGAAAATAAATATTTGAAGAGTCGCCTTCCATGATTCATTCATGGAGGCTTTGATGAATTTTGATTTGCACTTCACGAATTTGTTTTTGCTCTTGCCGAACTGTATTTGCACACCGCGAATTATGCCTGGAAAAGGTGTATACGTTGGCAGGAGTGTCGGCGGCTCATTAACCTACCCCTAACGTTGACGATTGGATAAAAAGCTATCCATCGGCCTCCTCATTCGACAATAATCGTTTATCGCCATTTGATTGGACCACATACAGTGGATAAGTAGAAAAACATATGTGTCGGCACTTTAACGATACCGACGACGCACGCACCAGAAGGATGCGTGGGCGTAGGTCACTGATTTGCCAAGAGCCATTTGGCTGTCGCAGACCAAACCCAACTAACTATCCACCAGTCGTTTTAGCCTACGCTGTGACCGCAAACACTCCACGGAAGCCAAGTTGGAGGTGGCTCAGTGGACATATAGGCTCTTGACACGTGTAGGCTGTGTACGATGGGCCGGCGGGCTCGCCAGAACGCGTTATGCATCCCAAGGCTAACGTTGATCGCAAACCGAGCGGTTTTGGGCTACGCTTTGCTTCGGTGTCGGGCAAAACGCCATGTGCTGCGACTTCTTCCTCGACTCCCAGAAAGAGTTCTCATCTTGGTCTCCGCAAGCCGGCAGCCGAAGCGCCCGGTTACGAACCCACCACCCAGGAGCCGGAAACCAGTCGACAAAATCGTGACGATCCCTACCACCCTAGCACGAAGGCTACAGCCACGACCGAGGCTCCAGAGGTCGAGGAATACACCACCACCGAGGCCCCGGCTACCGAGAACTACCCGAGTACTGAGGCGCCGGTGAACGAGAACTACCCAAGTACCGAAGCCCAGAGAACCAAGACTACCCCACCACCGAGGCCCCGGCCAACGAGCACTACCCGACCACCGAGGCTCCGGTCAAGCAACACTACCCCAGCACTGAGGCGCCAGCGACCGAGGACTACCCGGCCACCGAGTACCGAGGCGCCAGTTAGGGGAGACTACCCGACTACTGAGGCCCCGGCCAACGAAAACCACTCGAGTAGCGAGGCGCCGATGAGACAACACTACCCGAGTACCGAAGCGCCGGAGGTCAGCCCCTACCAACCTCAGACGGATGCTCCTGGTACTCGTGGCCGCCTGAGCGGCGAGTCTGGCCGCAATGACAACGGCTATCAGCGCCTCCACGTTCGCTCCGCTGATCGATGTGGTGACTATTCCACGCCGGAGTCGACGAACAAACCGTCTTGGTGGGGATGGTTGTTTTAGAAAGCCTCTTCTCGAGCTGAGCTGAGGTTCGGCGCAGACGCCCTTCCCTTTTTGTGTGAAGGTTACAGGCTCCGATCTAGTAGCCTCCGATTGTTTATTTTACATCTTGACATGTCCCGACGTTACAAATTTCGATGTTTCCTTCAGCCAGCTCGGCTCGTAGGGTATTGCAGGTTACGATCATTTTAGTTTTATATGGAGAAGAGGTTGCTGGGCGCAGACTAAATATTCTGCATTGGTGACTCGGGGAATTACTAAAGCTCGATGCGAAGTTTACTACTAGAATGCAGCAAACTCCTCGACGTACACTGCAATGGTTGGCTTCCAGCGCTTGCGGCTGGACTGGGAATAGCGGGTACGCAAGGTTTCCCGAGAGTTAGCGTAAAAGGGCAATACACTTATTGGTGAGAGCATGAGTGCGATGTAATAAACGCGGTGACTGCTCTCAATTCGGCGGTTTCTGCGTTGCAGGACGGTGGCGATGCGTGCAGCAATTCTAACTTGGAATTTCTAAGTTGAAGTGTACCAGTCCGTTCCAAATCTATTGATATGTACCACTATTTAGCTTGTTCCTAAACTATAGGAAAATACTAGTACTAGTTTCACTATGGCCAGAATCTGCAGATCGATCGAGAGGAGGCAGAAATGAGGCAGTAGTAACAGAGCACTTGATGCACCGTGGAAGTCGTCCCTCCCGCGCAAGCTTCGACTTCGACATGTGTCGAATCTTGAATGTTTTGTCACCAGCAGCAGCAACACAATCGTTCATCACGCATTGGAGCGTCAAGAAGCCCGCGTCCAGTGTTGCCGGCGGCAGCTCGTCCAGCGCCACCTTCACGTTGGCCACCAGGTCGTCGAGGGTGTGGGCGGCCATTCGCTCTTGTCGCGACTGTAGGGCGTTGAGATCCAATACGTTCATATCAGGGCTGTTAGGCGGTTGGAACCGCAAGTGTACATCGCACCCGGAGGCGTTTACTGCCTGCCTCCACGCCACGTCGTCTGGCTGGATATGCGGGGAGGCGTTGTCTTGCTGCACGGTGACACGCCTCCCGTCCGCCGCACCCGGAAACTTTGCTTGGATCGACGGGAGCACGTGCTCCACCAGCATCTTGCGGTAGGTCTCCTTGTTGACGGCCACCGGATATGGCACCAGCGTTCCAGCGGGGCGATTGCGGCTGCTTCGTTTCGCTGGCTCGTGTGTCAAAAACGCCCAGACCCCCAGCTTTCCATCAAATAACTTGCCCGTGATGGGGTCATGGCGCGGGCGGGCTACTGCTGCTAGCATCATCACCTTGGGAATATGACGCTTGCTCTTGAGTCGATGCACAGGCTTGGGCCCGTCCGGTAGAAGCACGAAGCGACGCATCACCTTGCAGAGATAGAAGAGTTTTTCATCCACGTGGACTACATCTTCCATGTCACTGAAATGATGCGTTGCTGCACTTACGTGCCCCACACTAAATGCAATCCTCGACTTCTTGTTGTCGTCCGACAGCATGGGCTTGGCAACGGACGTCTCCACACGGAGCTTCCCGATGCTCACCTGTCGGAACAGCGTGGTTGGTGGGAGGAAACAGGCTTGGGCGGCTGCGCGGATGATGCTCCGGCGCTGCGGATCGACCGCGTGGAGGCGCTCCAGCTCGCGGGAATGGTCGACACATCTGCGCCCAGTGCTGAGCATTCTTGTGGGCGATGCGTACACCCCGGTGCGTTGAAAGTTGCCCAGGGCTCGGCGCCAGACACGGCTGATGGTCTGAGCGCTGACCCCGAAGGTGTCTGCAGCAGCAGACAGCGCACCACGCGGTAGGGCGCCGACTGTCGCTCGGTTGAGGAGGGCCGACACCACGAGGGCACGTTCCGCGTCCGAAAGGTGCTTGGTCTTGCGGTGCGAGGTCTTGTTGGGGTGCGACATCGAGTAGCTTGTTGGGTTTGGTAGGTGGGTGCTTGGTCGGGGAGGGGCGAAATCGTTAATGGCAGTGGTGGCTTCTTCATCGATGAAAGCATCATTGGAGCTTAAGCGCTTCCCCTGGCGCCAATTTTTCGAGCTGTGCGAACCGCTATGAGCAGGCGGTTGTATTACTACCAATCACACGGGCATACAACTATTTTTAACCAATTGCGAGCCAAACGTGCTCAAACCTCCAGTAGATCTGGAACGGACTGGTAGCCATTTCCAGATGGCTACATCTTCGTCAAAGTGCGATTAGTGCACATACAAATTCCCAGTGTGACGTGGCAGTCCCTTGCGTTGCTGAGCCGCATCGTGGTGTCTCCCAGTGAGCCCAGATGCACAGGCAGTCGCGGACGTCTCATTCTCTCTACCGACGCCTGCGTCGCCGCCCCCTCCTTCTCCGAGCGTGCCAAGCGCTGTGTCGCCCGAAGTCAGAGCGGACATCGCGCTGGGCGTGGAGCGCTTGCAATTCGCAACACTTTTGGGCGAGCGCAAGAAGGCGGTGGCTGCTCTTCAATCGTTGGCGCAGAAATTCGACGCGTCTCGCAGTCCCGGCGGCCGTAAGAGCAACAGCAGCAGCGTCGACCCCACAGTTGAAGAGCAGGAGCTGGGAGATGCCACCGTGCCCGCCGTGCTGGTGTCCGACCCGCGAGACACGGAGCTCATGGAGGCCATGCTCGAGTTCCTGCAGTCCGTCGTGAGCCGCGCACCGTCGGCCGCCCTATTGCTGCTCGAGCAGCCTTCGACCACGGCCACGGCCACGTGGGTCATGCAGAGATGCCTCACGCTGCTGCAGGACCCGTCGCTGTAGGCGTGCGCTGCAGGACGTGCAGCCGGCGCGTTCGCCAAGTCGGTGCTGGAGTGCAAGGAGGGTTTGCGCTGCCTGCTGGAGGTCGTGGAGTACCGTCGAGAGCACATTCGCGACGCGGCGCTGGCCGTGCTGGGCCAATTGACGGGCCGCGACAAGAACGCGCAGCAGTTCCTGGCCTTTGAGGAGGGGTTCGCCAGGCTGTTCCAGATCATGGAGGTGGAGGGGCTGGCGGAGACGGGTGCCAGTCCGGCGTCCAGTGTCATCGCCGACTGCCTGCAGATCGTTAACAACATGGTGAGAGACAACCTCATGACGCAGACGCTGTTCCTCGAGATGACGTACCTCGAGTCCCATGTGCCGAGGCTGTTGAGGTTGCCCGGGATCGACGGAGGAGAGGAGGAGGAGGATGCAGCCGCGTTGAGCAGGAGGAAGCGCGTGCTGAAGCTTGGCCTGCAGCTCGTGCGGTTCCTCGTGGCGGGGCTGTATGAAGGAGCGCGCGAGTCGTCGCTGGATGAAATGGCACAGAGAGACCGTGACCGGAAGGGACAGGAGCTGGCCAGGATACAGAGTCTCGTGGCCCGACAGGAGGCGCTCATGGGCGCCGTGGGGGAACTCGTATGCTGTCGCAGTGACGCGCTGGCCGATTTGAGACTGCAGGCTCTGGATTTGTTACGACTGGTGACTGAGCACAACGGCAGCGCGCAGATGCTTTTGGTTAACTTGTACGCGTCACCTTCCGGCCGGAATGCTCTTGCGGAGTTGGTAAATCTTGATGTGGGCAACGGAAGTGACGAGTCGCCCATTGCTGCGGCGTCGTCAGCACTGCTGGATACGCTTTTTGAGGAGAGCGAGGGTGCTAGGATGGCCATGCTGCAGCATATCCAGTCCGCACCGCCACCTCCGATGTCCAGTGGAGGAGACGGTGGATACGATGCGTTTTCAGCTCCTCCATCGGCGGGTCGAGTTCTTTTGGATGCGTTTATCTGTAACGCTGAGTTCATTATCCAGTGCGACGGTAATGGCAAAACTGATACGCTAAACAATAAGCTGGTGGTGGCATGGAAGGCAAGTCATCGACTGGCAGGTCTACTGTCGAATAGCTCATACTGCAAAGAGCTTGCACTCCGCGTGCCTGCTGAGTACGATGACTCGGAAGCTCGAGCCGTGGCTGGAGGATTGTTCCTGTCGCGCTGCCTGTGGTTATTGCGCTTATGGTGGAGGACGATTTAAGCGCTGCACTTCAGTCAATCGTGTTTCAGGCCAAACTGTCAGTACTTCTGTTGCTGATCTGCTGGTGTCATGGTCCCGCGATTGGCTGGCGCCGAAGTCTAAAATTCAGCTCGAGTGACTGGACGTGCCCACTTTTGCACATGCACTGCCAAAACCGGCACCCGAAAAGGACGGACTCACGCAGATATGTCCGAGACGATCTCGGGCGAATTGGAGCGCACCCCGTGCCTCGTGCATGCATCCGAGCTCCAGCTGCTCCAACCCATTGCGGAAGATTAAAAGCTAAGCACCGAGCGCAGCGTTGGCGCAGTGCGTCTCGCAGTGTTGAGGGCGGCTGGTCGGTTGTCGCCGTTTCTCTGTCAACCCCTCTCCAAATCGATGGTCGTCGTTAAACAGGTGGCACGACCGCGGCTCCGTGACAAACTTGTCGGTGCTGGCGGATAGTCTTTCCGACGAGCAGTCTATTGCTTCTTCTCGTGGTGTGTCCGAGATGACACAGCTACGGGGCCTTATTGCCCTGCTGCAGGAGTGCTGTCTGGAATTTCTGTGTGAAGACGAGGAAGAGCAGGCCCTGAAGATTGCAAGTGCGGCACTAGTACCAGTCGCGGTAGAACAAGATCAAGGACTGCAGATGACCCGTGGCCAGCTTCTTCAGATGATCAGCAAGATCGTTCATACAACATGAACAGGTAGTGAGCCTCGCTGCCATCGCTCGATCCGTCTGCGTCTTCTTCGCTGATGTCGTAAGTAGCGCGATACGCTAGCAGTGTCCGCGAGCTTTGAGTCTTGCTCGTCCGAGCGCAAGCGATTAACGCTGGGGTTTGCTGAAACTTAACCACCTTTACGGTGTTTTATCGCGAGATGGCTGAACAGATTCAGAAGCGCGTCATCGCGATTTACACCGGAGTGGACCAGGGATCTACCCCATCTGCAGGCGTCGAGTCGGGAACTCCAAGCGCAATCGGCGCCTATCAGGATCTCATCCGCATGCAGGACAAGCAGATTCATGACCTGCAGCAAGAAGTGGAAAGTCTGAAGCAGCGTGTGGCTAATGGAGCGGGTGATTCAAACGCTGCCAACGCTTCTATGGCAGACCCAGGCCGTAAGAACGATCTAATGGAGATGTTGTCCACCCAGCGTGAGCAATTTGAGCGAGAGAAGGCTGAGTTAAAAAGCAAAATCAAGAGCATGTCGGAGTCAGCGCTCGAGATGGAGACTCGTGTGAATGGTCTTACGATGGCGTATGAGCAGCTTGAGCGAAAACACCAACAGCGTGGACAAGAGATGGCTGCAGCTCACTCTGGAGTGACCGGGGTATCTTCACCTGCTGCTTCTAGCGGGCTGGAAGAGCAAATCGCTATGTTACAAGCTGAATTAGATGCGGAGCGAGAAACGAATCGGCGACTACGAAGCGAGGCTACTGCAGCTAAAGGTGGGGTGGCGTCGCAAGCACTTCGTGAGAAGGGTGATGCTGAGCTTGCTGATGCGCGCCTCATGACCCAGCACGAGGAGCTGCGTGTGGAAAATAAGCAGAAGGATGAGCAACTAGCCGAATGTACTCAGATGCTGGAAACACTTACCGAAGGGCAGAACCTAGTGAAACGGGACAACGAGTGGCTGAAAGCAGAGCTTACAGAGTTGCGCTCAAGAACCGATCAAGCAGGCGAAGCAGACGGAACCGAGTGCATGAGCGTTGTGGATGGTCTTCTGGATGACAAGGCGCGCTGAGAACGTCGTGTTGAAGAACTGGAAGCTGCCGCGCGCGCTGCTTACGAGAAGGATCAAGAGTTCTACGCCAG